CCCCCCCTGGCAGAATAGGCGGCTTTCTTCCGTGTCTTCTACTCTACTCTTCTACGAAGGGGACACATAGAAGAGACCATTTTGATATGCTGCACCCATTGCAACACTTGGGATCTTTTTCGTTTCCTATCTTTCCTGTATTATTTCTTTTCTATCTACTTTAATTTTCAGGCGGTGTCTCCCTACTTCAGGAGGCATTCGTCCTTATATGAACCTGGCTGTTGCGAGGACGTTAAACCCAAACAATTATAAAAGTTGCATGCACCATTCAAAATGGCGACTGCAAAAGAAAATGGGGCAAATATGTGATTATGTATATGTATTAAACGTGTCGCAACGACCGTTGTGGCTAACCGACTGGTCAATCAACAAGGTGAAAAGAGCTGTAAAAGAAAAGACAGAAAATAGAAAACCGAGACAGAAGAAAAATAATGAGAGCCAAACCAAATGCAAATGCTGGGTCACTATATCCTACATCTGAGGCGTTTGCCCGGGTGATGAGTAAGCACCATTTTGGCACCCCGATGAGACGGTACACCCCCAAAGACAGGACTTACATCTTAGACAAAACAGGAGTTGTATATCAAATTTCATGCAAAAATCGTCATCAGTCGTAAATAGCTGAAACTGGGAGGAAATTTGGTACACGTCTGAAGGAACATTGACAGATCACGCTAACACCCAAAATCACATCGTTGATTGGGACAATGCCACGATAGTTGAAAGGGAACAGCACACAAAAACGAGACAAATCAAAGAAGCAATCAAAATTAGGAAAACTCAGAACATGAATAGAGACGAGGGGGGGGGGCACCAGCTGATTCATATACATGACCCGATACTGACATAATGGGTGAAGGGGGATAGATCTACACCATATTTGTAACCTATCTGATGCAGTGTGTATACGCTCCCTATCGATAGGCGAAAAGTGTCGTGTCGAGTGACATGAAAAATATACAAATTCATCACATCGTTGTACAGGTAAAAAATAGAAATCGCTCACTCAGTCATAGTTTTGACAAAGGGGCCCATCGGTTTTGAAACGTTGCGACACGTTTGATACATACATTATTTGTGTAAAAGGTAAAACTTTGATATTACGCAAGCCACGTCTCGTTTTAATATTCTAGCGCGAAACCAGACGTATAACACGTAAGCATCACTTGGACACGAAACATGTACAAAGGCATCATAGTATATATAAAATAATACTTAATATATATATTATGACACCTGTTTATATGTGGCATATCCCTGTGGTAAGCATGCAGTCCTAAAGCTCTAGCCCGTCCATTCGCGCACGTTACAAAATCCTGCGCTCGACGGGTTATTGGGTGAATCATGTGTCTGAAATACAAGATGCAACGAAAATCATAAATATTAGTCAGAAGTTACTACTACAGTTTTTAGGTACAAAAAAGTGTTTTGGTTAAAAATAATAACAGGAATTGTTGGCCTGTTTTTACAAGTCGTTATAACATATACATTTCTTTGCCAACGGTAACGTTTTATCAGGTTGATTTGTTTCCCTGCAACGTCACGACGAGAGTATTAAAATAGGAAATGACTTGTGTACTTCTTAATGAGTACTCGCCAAAACGTGAGTCAACAAGACACGTGCCTTTGTAGAATCAAACGTTACGTACAGAAGATGAAACCATTCTCCTGCTGCATGAATGCAAGTTTCTTGTAATTCGCTGAAATCATGCAATACAGTCAAAAGTAATGTCTAGACATTTAAAAGGGCGTTCGGCCTCAAATATCTCCAAAGTTCCTTAAACTCAGTGAAAGAGTATGAAGTTTGGATAACTTATCACCCGAACAAGCAATTTTAGGCTAAGCGCAGAATCCAACTTTGAGTTTAATAATTTCATGAATACGATCCCTGCAGAGTACAATAATTCTCATTGTTGATTATAATCTTATTTTGTTGCCTAGGTACTTCTACGTCACATCTATGACGTCACTGGAGAAGTATATGAAGACATCCCAACGAAATATCGCACGTCACATGTCAGTCTAGCGATTTACCTAAAGCTGTGCACCCGCTTGCCAGGCAGACGAATGCATTCCGTTACATAGGAGCATCACTTGTGTCATGCTGAGCCGGAACATGACGCTCGTGTTCGTGCCATCAGATCTACAACTTCATGACATAGATAAATCGGCTTCAAATCAAAATGGACAAAAACTGTCTTTCACCTTGCATAATTATCTCTACTGAACCAAATCTAACAATACAATGGAAATTCTGCATTTATAGCGCTCCTATCTAGTTAAGTGTAAATTCTAAGAAAAGAACGAAAACCGTAATTAAAATTTGTCTTCTTCTTTAAATTGCTTAGTTTTGCTTTGCAGAACTAGAACACAAATGACGTCACAAATTAATATATCCTGATGTCTTTTACATGCCGCCCTTCTGCTTCGGGAATGGTGATTGATTAATTGGTTTTACGTCCGCTTCAGAGGCGTATTGTTTACTTATACATCATTGAATGACCTTGACCCAGCGATCCAACACTCCAAATCTGGTTTAATTTACTTCAGACATTTTGGACTAAAGGTATTATAATGTAGGAAGACGACGACGACGGACAATGGATTAAGCGCAACGGCACTTCAGGATGTATTAGCTAAAAAGATCAACAAATATATTTAAAAAGACATACAGTTTATTATATAAAAATGCATAAAATATCTACAATAAATTACCAGTCTGGACAACTTACACTGGACACAAGCTAAAATATATATCTATGGTACAATTATACAGAGGATACTGTAACGTCACAGTAAAACTAGTAATAAAACACACAATCAGGTTTAGTAAAACATTCTTAATATTAATCTTCACTTAATGTAGGTCAAACAAACAAGTTTCGCCAACTTCTGACAAACAAACAAATATGCCAATGATTGCCGGCAATGGTCGAGATATCATGATTGAAACATCCTCATATCCAGGGGTTACACTCACTTTCGCTCTTTGCACAGAGAGCGAAAGTGAGCGTATACCCTAGATATCCAGGATGTGATTGAAAGTGCGTAGAAAACATGTAACAAGGGCATATAGCTACATCTACTCTTTGTAATTATATAACACATACAAGAGGCTGTGATAAAAGTGAAGCAACATAATGCTTTGGGCTCAGTATCATACATATATAATGGTGCTCACTCATCTGGAGTAGACCTTCTATAAAACCGGAAAATTTCTGTTTCATCATAGAAAAGGCCCCCTTTAATTGGAAATAGCTACTCCGCTAGAAAGGTACTGTTAGGTCAGAATTTTGCCAGAATGGTTCCCTCCCCTTGACAGGAGTATACCACAACGGTTACCTCCCCTTGATATGTCAGACCAGTTATCTCCCTTTGTTAGTGAGGATATATAATAATTGTTACATGCATGGAGTCAGAACTGACCAAAATCCTGGTCAATCGAAAATTGCAAACTGCCCAAACACATATTGCAAATATTGGATTAACATGCAAAGCATGGGTTTGATATGGCACTTCAAAACTGAGGAATTCTACCTAAACATTTTTATCAATCAAACTTTTATCTGGAACATGAGATCCACAATATAATGTAGTGAAAAATATGATGTGTATCAAAATTAATGAAATTTGTTATTAGGGGTAAGGACTAGCTTCAAATAATTTTCTAGACATATCAACTAGTACAAAAAGTTTGTAAATTTGATACGTTCAATAATCTTAAATCAATTTTCAGTATTGAAAACAACATTTTCCTTTATGGCAATATACAACATCCTGTACAGTGTTCACCAGTTATAGACACGCTGCGTCAGATTCCAATTTCAAACACCCACTCGCTTTGAAATGACTTTGTTGGCTTTTAGATCAAACAAGACCATGTATCAACAGCATCCTTAACTACCAGTACCAATATCAACGTGAGATATCACCATACACGTAATGTGTCTTACTTAACTACCAGTACCAATATCAAGGTGAGATGTTACCATACACGTAATGTGTCTTACTTAACTACCAGTACCAATATCAACGTGAGATATCACCATACACGTAATGTGTCTTACTTAACTACCAGTACCAATATCAATGTGAGATATCACCATACACCTAATGTGTCTTACTTAACTACCAGTACCAATATCAAGGTGAGATGTCACCATATACGTAATGTGTCTTACTTAACTACTAGTACCAATTTCAACGTGAGATATCACCATACACGTAATGTGTCTTACTTATCTACCAGTACCAATATCAATGTGAGATATCACCATACACGTAATGTGTCTTACTTAACTACCAGTACCAATATCAAGGTGAGATATCACCATACACGTAATGTGTCTACTTAACTACCAGTACCAATATCAACGTGAGATATCACCATACACGTAATGTGTCTTACTTAACTACCAGTACCAATATCAACGTGAGATATCACCATACACGTAATGTGTCTTACTTAACTACCAGTACCAATATCAACGTGAGATATCACCATACACGTAATGTGTCTTACTTAACTACCAGTACCAATATCAACGTGAGATATCACCATACACGTAATGTGTCTTACTTAACTACCAGTACCAATATCAACGTGAGATATCACCATACACGTAATGTGTCTTACTTAACTACCAGTACCAATATCAACGTGAGATATCACCATACACGTAATGTGTCTTACTTAACTACCAGTACCAATATCAACGTGAGATATCACCATACACGTAATGTGTCTTACTTAACTACCAGTACCAATATCAACGTGAGATATCACCATACACGTAATGTGTCTTACTTAACTACCAGTACCAATATCAACGTGAGATATCACCATACACGTAATGTGTCTTACTTAACTACCAGTACCAATATCAACGTGAGATATCACCATACACATAATGTGTCTTACTTAACTACCAGTACCAATATCAACGTGAGATATCACCATACACGTGATGCGTCTTATTTAATTACCAGTACCAATATCAACGTGAGATATCACCATACACGTAATGTGTTTTACTTAACTACCAGTACCAATATCAACGTGAGATATCATCATACACGTAATGTGAACTTCTTACTACTTCTTTATGTGTCTTAACAATGGTGATAGATCAGTTAACAGGAGAATGGTGGATCTAGCTCCCCCCTTCCTCCTCCCTCCACCCCACCCCCAAGACCCTTCCTTTAGGAGCATCTCTCTTGAAAGACAACATGCATTGGAGCTAGTTACAGAGAGATCCTTTTAACTAAAGAATCATCTTTCTTTGTTCTTGAGAGAAAATATCAACCCTCTAATGGTGGATCAACTTTCTACTAAGATAGTTTCTATATGTCAAAAATTGAAAGTTCAATCCTAATGACCCTGACATGATAATCCGGCTGTTTCGAGAAGCATTAGAGAAATGGTCTAACAATAAAACTTTGCTTTAAGTGTCTATGGATTCTTATCACGAAGATACAAAATGCAGGACTGCAAAAATCACATGGAAAATGTACAACAATACTCTATACAAAATCAGGGAGATTTTTCAAAGTATGTCTTCATACAATTTTAGATATTGCACTTGTGTATGATTTTGTTCTAACTGTGTCACAGAAATGTAGAACAAGAGTGTTCAATGAATCCCTCCAGGCTGCCAGTGTACACGTACTTTACTCTTACATTACAAAAGATCTCTATAGAGAACGATATAAAATCTAGTCTCCATATTCATGTACCACTAAAGGAATTTAATGATAATTCAATATAGTAAAATCTTAGTATACTGCCACCATTTGTCCGCCAAAATAAAGGCTTTATAAAGTGGTTTGGTGATATAGTGACAGAGACATAAAAAATCATGAAAAAAATGAAAATTCAACGCAAATATGTTGGTGGTAAAATATGTTGGTGGTAAATGAGGTGGCAAGGGACACTATCTTATTATATAGAAGTTTTACTGTATATGTCAACAAATGGGATTATATAGAAATGAGGGGCATTATATAGAGGTTTTACTGAATGGAAGTAAATTAAAGGGAATTATATAGAGGTTTTACTGTATGGAAGTAAATTAAAGGGCATTATATAGAGGTTTTATTGAATACATGAACATGTATGGTTTTACTGTTTATAAATGAGGGGCATTATTTAGAGGTTTTATTGTATGGAAGTAAACTAAGGGATATATATAGAGGTTTTATTGTATGGAAGTAAATTAAAGGGAATTATATAGAGGTTTTACTGTATGGAAGTAAATTAAAGGGAATTATATAGAGGTTTTACTGTAAATAAACAAGGGGCATTATATAGAGGTTTTACTGAATGGGAGTAAATTAAAGGGAATTATATAGAGGTTTTACTGAATGGAAGTAAATTTTAAGGGGAATTATATAGAGGTTTTACTGAATGGAAGTAAATTTTAAGGGGCATTATATAGAAGTTTTACTGAATGGGAGTAAATTTTAAGGGGCATTATATAGAGGTTTTACTGTAAATAAGCAAGGGACATTATACAGAGGTTTAACTGTATGTAAGTAAACAAGGGGCATTATACAGAGGTTTTGCTGTAACAGAGGTTTAATTGTATATAAACAAGGGGCATTATATCAGGGGTTTTCTGTATATATATTAACAAGGGTCTTTATACTGAGGTTTTACTGTATATGAATAAGGGGCATTGTATGGAGGTTTTATTGAACAGCAGTTATCACTAATATGTGATGAACTATTCATGAGCAATGATTGACTTGTGTACAGTTAAACTATGTCCTCAGTTCTGAGGTTTGTTCACTAGTTTATGGCTTGACAATACATGTCTACTTGTGGTGAAACCTAACAAGACTGCACAATTTGTAAATTTGATGTACGCTGAGAAAGAAATCTGGAATATCCAAACAATATTTATAACTTAATATGAACTCTAGAAAGTTGTTCACTGTAAAAATGTAGAAAGTAGTTCCTCTAGATTGTCAGAGATCATGTCACACACTTCTGTACATAATAAAATCAGAATAAGATACACAATGGATTGAAATGAAAATCAACAATTCATAACACCTTAAAAGTTATATAATTGATGAAAAAGTATTGATAACATCAGCTCAATGCCAAAACTTTTAAAAAGTAATATACATGTAATACATTGAAATATAAAAAGTAATATACATGTAATACATTAAAATATAAAAAGAACATAGATTGTATCAGTGTTGGTTAACGATTTGTAGGAAGACCTTGTATAGATATTTGGTATTTTTATTTTGAAAAAAAAAAATTCAAGAAGATGAATACTTTGGTTGATGGGGAATGAACAGCATTAAACAACTAATACTAG